TTTTTTTTTTTTTTTTTTTTTTTTAATCATACTCAAATTTCATCGTTACCAGCAACAATACTCAAACCATATATAAATCCACGTTTTGTACAAGACTAATATAATATGTTAAGATTATATAGTGTATGCGATGAGATAAATATCTACTTAAAAATATCAGAAATTGTTAAAAGTTAAATTGATACCGGAAGAAAGAATTATTGTAAAATATAATTCTTACAAAAATACAAAGGGAACAATGCAAATAGAAAATATAAAATCGTATTACCTGTACATTTGTGAGTATCGAATTGTCGATTGTTGAAGGATGAATATATGCGAAAAACAAATTTTAGTAATTTAAGTGATACATTATAAATTTGTTAATTTCGAATTTATATTCGATGCATTTATTAATTGTATAGGGTTATTTGTTTCTTCAATTAAATCAATTTTTAATAATTGTTAAACACGCGTTGCATAATTTTTGCATCCATTCGATTATTTTCCTTATTTTACTTTTTCGTTAATTATAACGTAAGATCTACAGAAAAATGCGTATAAAATAAATAAGATTATTGACTGTTACAGAACTTGACTGTTTTGCAACCAGATCTACCCAATTTCCAACTATTTTTTGTTCAAATATTTTCATTAACTCTTCTACCACTGACTAAACGAATCGATGTTTCAGGAATTCGACGATGATGGAAAGGTCCAAGGAACTAGACTCGATACAACGATTGGTTACGTTATGTCCCAAATCGAATTCTCCGGATCAGACAAAGATTGATCAAAGATTGCCATGTGAAAAAGAATTAAAGGATAAGTTACCTAGAAAAATTCTAAAAAATTGTAACAAGATTAATAATAAACCAGAGACGGTGAGGAAAAATGAAAACAATTTAACGAATGATTCATCATTGAATGAAGTTAACGTTGATTTAATTTCGAACAGGAATATCGTTGACAATAGTGTTTGTTTAAAAGATGTTGACAGTGATTTATCATCGTCTATAAAAACGAATGAACGAATAAAGGATGATCCAAATGAAAGAACGCAGAATAATTTGTGCATAAATTCAGTGCCACAGGTATTGATTGCAATCCCAGATCCGGTGACTAACGAGATTAAAAATATTCTGATGCCAATTGAAACGAGAGATGCCTCTGGATTGAACGTAATTAAAAGTGTCCTTGTACCCATTCGTGACTCGAATGGTGTTATATCGTACAATATTAAAAAAGTAATGGTGCCTATCAAACCGGAATTAAATTTGTGCCAGCCATCGAAAGTCAAAAACAAGTCGAATACAAGTAAACCTGTCAAAAATGAGAAAAAAGAAGACGAACGAACATCAATATCAAACGAGAATGAAACAAGAAAAAATGACGAAATAACGTTAGACGTTAAGAATAATGTGCAACATTCTTCATTGGAAGAAGCAAGGAAAAATTTAACGAAAGATGAGGAAGAGGAGAATACAGAATCGCAAATAATATCTATTCAAGAAAGCCAAAAAGAAGAGACGGATCAAATATTAGAAACTTTGAAGAATGTTTGTCCGGTATGTCAAAAAGTATTCAAGAGCGAGAACATGATGCAAAGGCACGTGCGCAAGTTTCACGAGAAGACGTATCCTTGTGATAAATGTAACAAATGTTATCCATCAAAATTATCACTGGAAGAACACAAAAAGTCGCACGAAGATGATTCTTACTTACAATGTTCCATGTGTCACTTAAAATACAAACGTAAGATAGGCTTAAAGTATCATCAGATTCGTGTACATAGTAACGTGGATCCAAAATTTATGTGCGATTATTGCGGGAAACGTTTCAAATTGAAACTGGATCTGAGTGTCCATATCGAAAAGATACACATGGGAATCACCCATATCTGTAAAATATGTGGCAAGGTAGTGAAAAATATCACGCATCACGAATGGCAGCACGATAGGGCAGCAAAGAAAGTCGTTTACAAATACAGTTGCGATCTTTGTCCAAAAAAATTCACGACTCGTAACAATTTAGACAACCATTTGCTTATGCACAAAGACGGATTTAAGTGTACTCTTTGCGACGAAGTTTTTTCTTCGCCATTTGCACTTGGCAGCCATAAGAGCACGAAACACAGACCTGGCGCCACCTGCCCTATTTGCGAGAAAGCTTTCAACAGTACCAGCAATTTTTATCAACACGTGCTCACCCATGCTGGAGTCAGACCGTATAAATGTGACATTTGTGGAGAAGATTTTACGCAAAGATCCAGTGTTCTGAGACACCGAAAGATTCATCCTGGACCTCTTCCTCCTTTAACAGATCCTACTCCTATCGCGGATACTGCTAGGAAGATATTGGAACAACTTTCGAGTGCTTGACTTGTTAACGTATTTATAATGTGCAACTATATTGTTGTGAACAACGTTAATTTTGTTTTAAAGGATTTATCGAGAAGCATGAAGAGAAATGGATGCATTTTGAAAATATATGGTGCTTCTGAGTAAATATTGTAGTACAAAGTTTGGAAGAAGATGTAAGATCTTTGTGATATGGTAATTGAACATAGCAATGTATGTGTCAAGAATCGTTACCTTAGTATCGATTGATTTTATCGTTTCATTGTTAATGAAATTTAACATCTGTGAAATATTCTATTCTTGAGACTGATTTTGATTTCTTTTTTATATATAGAGAATTTTATTTTAAATTTGATAATGAATAGATATTTGAAGATTTATATATAAAAGTTATAAACATGTACACTCATTTATATATTAGAAACGTATTAATGTTTATCTAATACTTATTAAATATTAACATTTTATTTAGTATTTTAATTGAATACTATTTTGTAATAAAAATTTATAGAAAATTATAAAAATATCCGTTTAAGTTATTCTAAATTATTTTGGTTAAACGATTTGAGATGTAATATTTTTTAAGTTATTGATTATTCTCAGTTTAATATATTTTTAATAAAATTAATTTATCATGTGTCGAAATACAAAAGTGATCATCCAATAATTTCACGCAAATGACGTGAAAATACATTTAAATATTTCAATTGTTTTAATATAGTGTACATTAAATGACGCAAAAGTAAGTTACATTTTTCATATATTCAAATGTTATATAAATTATATTTTTATATATTTTTTATCAATACATACTTGATTATTTCTATTTTAAGAAAAGATAATGTTATTCAACTAATATGTAAAATAATTTTTTTTTTTTTTTACGAATATTCAAAGTTTTATTCTTTTAGATTAAACAAATTTTAAAAGTTTAGAATTATAATTACTTTATATTTCATAAATAATAATAATAATAATAAATCACATGTTTTTCTCACACACTGACACATAATATCCTTATTTCAGAAGAGAAGCTGACTCAGAACAGCAAAGAAATCCAGAAAGAAATTCGTCTTATTGTTTAATACAAGTTGATTTACAAAATCAGGAGAAAGATAAAATATCAAATCAAATTCCATGGACGAATTCCACAAAATCAGAAATTCATCTGGAAAAATCACAAAAAACAAAGTCTTTTCATTCACATGAGCTCTAAAAATTTACAAAATTCTACGAGAAATCTAAAAATTTCAAAAATAAATTTTCAAACAGTCTCGTTGAAAAGAGAATTAAATCAATTATTGCAAAAAAGGGCGAAGTCGAGGTAGATCAAGTATTGAATAATATCAGAAACACTTGTCCGTTTTACGAAAAGCGATTCGATAACGCGAAGAAGGTTGAGAATCACGTAATTTATGTGCATAGAAAACCGTATGCAACATGTATAAAAGAACATATACAGCTCGAGCATTGGAGGAACACAAGATGATCCATCGATCGGATTATTTCTTCGAGTGCAACATCTGTCACGTGAAATACAAGAGCGAAGACAACTTGAAGAGGCACAATATGCGAATTCATAGCAATTACGAATTAAAATACATATGCGAGTATTGTAGCTACAAATTGAAGACTTGATTCATCACATGAAGAAATCGCACGCCTCAGAGTTACAGATTTGTCGATTCTGCGGAAAGGAAGTGAAAAATGTGAAGGCACATGAATGGAGGCATCAGAAATGTGACAAAGAAACAAAATACGTACTTATTATACTCAAGATACGTTTATTTTTTTAGTAAAATGATAATGAAGATTTTGTTTGAGGTTGTGAAAATTTGATGATGTTATTAAAAGTAATTTTCGATGGAAATTTAAGAAATTGTTTGATTCATATCAATTGATATGTATGGCAGATATATATTTAAAAAAGAAAAGATTAACTACAATGTGTGTAAAGGTACTTTTTAAACTTCTTATGTAGAATATATTCTTTACACTCTAAATTAATTAAACAATACAAAAGAATATTTATTATAAAATAAGTATAAATAAAAATAATAACAATTCAAATGATAAATGAAATGGAATTGAAAATGTTGCATATTAATATATAATGTAAGATTATAAATAAGATGGAAAATATTTTTGAATACTAGAAAATTATTTAGAATAAGTTGAATTTGAAATATTAAATTCTAATATTATCATATACATATATATTTTTGTAATAATAATGAAGAATATTTTTGTATATTTGTATATATTCAAATCATTATTTTTAAAAATAAAGTCGTGAGAATTATTAATTTCAACATATACAAAAATTCAAAATTTATGATTTGACGTATTAAAAAATATTTATCCTAATAGATAAATTTGAGATTTTATTTCAAATTATTCTTCAGTATTACAGGAAGAAGAAGACACGTTGAGTTTATCAAAGTTAAATTTTATTGTTATATTAATAAATACTCCCATAAAAATACTCCATAATTACACCATAAATATACATGATTATTACCCTTTCATCTTCCATTATTATTATCATACTATAGTAAAAATAATTCAATATTCTTTTTTTCTACAGTGTAATTAATACATGTGTAATGTGTCTTTGAAACACACATCCGAGAAATCTTATCGCACAATCCAGGGTTCTAAAAGAAGAGCAAAATCAATTTTTAAGAAATTTTAAATATTCCAGGTGCATGTTCTCGTTCTTGGTTTAGTAAAAATCAAAAAATAAAAAAAAAAATAAAAAAAAGAAATAATAAAAAAAAAGAAAAGACAAATCACCTTTTCCTCTCACATATCTGCTCCCAAAAAACGTAATCGACTGACTAGCTTTGTGGTTTTTTAGGTACAATGCGCTAGACCCACTCGCTCCAACTTTTCTGATAGTAAAGCTAGAAGATAATTACTTTCGGATACCAACGTCGCTGAGCGTGTTCATGATGAAGGAACCGAATCCCAACGGAGAGACGAACGCCCAATCGTCGAAAGACGACGTGGAATCGGCGAAAACGAACAACAACCAATTGGAAGAGAAAACGAAGGATAACGCGAGCACCGACGACCCATTCGACGATCTCGACGACGCACCCTTGGACTTCCGGAAGAGGCAAGAACAGGAGAAGAGCAAATCGAGCAAACAAATCCCAAAGAAGAAGGTGCACACCTGCGAGATCTGTTACGCCACGTTCGACCGTAAGAGCAAGCACACCAGGCACATGTTCAAGCACAGCAACTCGAGGCCCCACAAATGTGCCATTTGCTCGAAAGGGTTCAAAACCACGGCTCACCTATCCAGGCACATGGAGGTTCACGACGAGCCTGTCAATTTGCACGCGTGCAGCCTGTGCGACTTCAAAGCACGCACCAAACCCTACCTTAAGATCCATTACATCAGAAAACACACGGAGGATTACAATTACAAATGCGAACAATGCGGAAAGATGTTCAAGGTGCAGTCGGATTACACGACCCACGTGAAGGATCACGACACCGAATCTTGCGTCTGCGATATATGTGGCTCCTCTTATCCGAGCAAAAGCTCCCTCTACTTCCATAAACATTACAAGCACAAGACTAAGGTGAAGAAGTTTCAGTGTCAGACGTGTAAGAAGAAGTTCAAGACGCAGAAGAATCTTGACAGTCACATGGAATTGCACAAGATCAAATACGTTTGCGAGCAATGCGGTATGGAGTTCAAGAGCAAATACGGCCTCACCAAGCATCTGAGGACTCATTCCGGGGAGAAATCTTATTTGTGCGCGATTTGCGGGAAAACATTCGGGTGTTTGAGCTCGCAGAAGATCCATCTGTTGACGCACGTCGGCGAACGGCCTTACGTTTGCGACATCTGCGGGCAGAGCTTCACGCAGAGATCGCCCATGATGCTGCATCGCAGGAAGCATCCAGGGGTGCATCCGCCGCCCCCACCGATTAAAATAACGAACCTGCTTCACGGTGTACAGGACAAAATAATCGTGAACAAGAGCAGCAAGTAAATGCACAAAATCAGGTGGACAATGTACATTCTACTTTTTTTTTTCTTTTTTTCTTTCTTTTTTTCTTTCTTTCTCTCTTTCTCTCTCTCTCTCTGTTTAATATAAAATTAGAATGTGAAAAGTATGGTGAACGGGAGCATCGATTTTTCGAACGATTGTTAATGATTTATTCGAGTGAAATTATTCTTTCGAGTTGAAGCGTTTTCCTGTGAAATTAATTGTGTTCCATTAGGTCGTTCAATTTTGAGGGAGGTTAATAAGAAGTTTTTTGTGGGATCGTACGTGTACAAGTATTAGGTCGACAGACTGCGTCGTGTTCATCAGTCTACGTGATACGTAAGTTCTTCTTTTTTTAATTTTGAGAATAATAAATTTTACTGGATGTGGTAAATATATTTGAAGTAATGACAGATACGTGTAAGAAGATACATTGCAAGATAATCTTAGATTTTTTAAATACACAACGAATTTATTAATTATTAATATCGATTAAATTATAACGAGTTGTATAATAGAATGTTTTTTAGGAATTCCGGATCATTTTATATAAGATATTTAAATTATTCTTTTTATATTGATCCGTAATTATAATTAATTGTATATATTTTGTTCATACATTTTTTTTCCTGTTTTTCTGCTCACTTATAAAATATCAATTTATTTGCTTCTAACATTACATCTTTGTTGGAAAAAATTGTAAGCGTAATTTTTAAATTTAAATAGCTTGTTTTAATCCAATTTTGTGTGTGTCGATTCAAGCGAAATAAAAGTGATATTTTTGTATAGTCTTGAAATATTGTTTCCTATAGAAAAATTAATCATTTCGCTTGAACAATTTTTAAAATCATTATCATAAACTTTGTGATGATAAAAATGTTAATATTTGAATTAATTATTAATTTTTTTTAACGAATTTGTTTAAAAATTCAATGTTTAAATTATTGATACACGTTTAATATTTAATTATTTTTGTTTTCGATTCGTTTAACAAATTAATATATTGTATAGAATGATTGTAATATATGAAATGACGTAAATGACGAAAAACTTTTTGACGTAAAAAATTGATATAAAGTTTCAATCAGAAACGCTAAAAATTGATAAGCATGTAAAGATCATAGCTAATATAATATATCATATTGAAACTTAAAAAAAAAAAAAAAAAATCAAATTCTTTATTTCCCTTTTTCCGTTTCCCTTTTATAAAAATTTTTTTTTCGGGCAATTTTTCGAAACAAAATTTGATTTTTTTTTTTTTTTATTATTTGTTATGAAGTTTCAATCAGAAACGCTAAAAATTGATAAGCATGTAAAGATCATAGCTAATATAATATATCATATTGAAACTTAAAAAAAAAAAAAAAAAAATCAAATTTTGTATCGACAAAATGCACGTAAAAATAACTTTTATATAAGTGTAACGTGAAAAGTGTAATATAGATATTGATTTATTCTTACGAAAAAAAATTTATATTACTTGTAAATTTGAAAAAAAGAAATATATACATACATATATATAGATATATATATATATTTCTTATATATATATATATATATTTCTTATGTATAAGATTATGTAAAATAGTTTTTACGAATTGTATTATTAAGAAATAATGTACAGAAAAATAATTTTTTAAATTAAGAGTAACCTTCTTATTATTAGTTTGTTATGTTCTACTAATTCATTATTTTTCTTTCTAGTGGAGAAGAAAAAAGAAATTAATCGCTAATACATATCAAAATTCAACTTTCAACGTCATTTCTTTCATATTTATAATTAATTATAATTAATTTTACATTTCATGTCCGTCGTATGTAATAAAGACTAAACCAATTGTAATTACTTACAACAGGTATCTTTATAATATATAATTACAGATCTATAATTATTTTAATCGTTTTCTTAATTTCTTTTCAGTAAAAAAACAAAAACTCTAACAATTTTCAGCGATTAAGACAACCTATCCATAAGAAGAAAAGACGTTCGTTAATTTCTCTCCTAGCTGATATTCCGTATGTTCTCGAAATAAATAAATTATCGCGATATTTTTCCTCCGATTAACATAATTCTTTTTTATTTTTAGGCCGTTACCACGCGATCCTTTTGTACAAATTTTTGTGGTGCAAAAGGTCGATAAATATTTTCTCCTGCCTGTCGAGGAATCAGTACAAAAGCAACCGGAAGAGGATTCTATCGCGACAAACATTTGCATCAAGACTGAAGTACATGAAGAAACATCTGAACAACAACTTGTCGAATCTCAATTACAAGAAACAGATAAACGAAAAATCATCCATATCTTTCTATTCAAATATCTTTAATATATCTTTAAAAATCTTATTTTTAAAAATCACTGATACAGTGGAACGACGACATTCCAACAATGAATCTCAAAAGACCATTCCTGAGGAGCCTCAAAAAAATTATTCTCAACAAAGCTCAACTTTTCAAGGAGATATTCTCAACGTACACTTCAAAGTATACGAATAACATCAAAAAGCACGAGCAACGAACAGAATTTTTGCAATTACTGTCCCAAGATATTCAGAAGGAAGAATTGATATAACTTTGTACGACAACAGTAGAAAGGTGTACGAATGCATTCATGTCGAAGAGGAGCAACATATGATCAAGATGCACAACAAGTGTTACAGTTGTTCTAAGATAGTTGCTTCGTAAATATATACAGCAATACTTGCTCAATTATAATTGCGAGATTTTCGGAATTGTGTTTAAATACAAAGCCTCGTTTTTAAAGCATTAAGTATCGCACAAAAATCTTATCGATTTTTTTCGATTTCTTTCATTCTTTTTTTTTTTTATTTTTATTGATATCGTATTGCGATTGAATAAATGAACTGATAGTATTGTTATGGTAATTTATAAAAAAAGAGGCCTTTAATATTATGTATAAATAGATGTTATTTAAGTTAGATTCATAAAAATAAGAATATCAGAGAGCTTTAATTTTCTTGTTGAAAATATTGAATTCACATTATTAATGTAATAATTAAAGTTTTATTAATAGTCGTATTACTTATAGATTAAGCTAAAGAAGAAATATTTGTAATAATTGTAAGTATACGCGAATAGGGATTTATTGTAAGTACAAAATAAACGATAGTAAGTATTTATCGTTTTTATTAAAATGTATATTGTATATTATTATTATATTTTATAAATTTTTTTGTATTGTTAAAAATTATAATGTTATAATGTTATAAATTGAAAGTGATATGCAGTGTCCTACGTAAGTATTATAATTGTACATATTGCATAATTTTTGCATCAAAGTTTTCAAAAATATTAATCTTTGACAAATATTTAGAACTGAACATTTGGATGAAAATTAAAAAAATACAAACAGTGATAATAGTGATATAATAATATTCTGAAGAATAGAATTCTAATATATTCAAATATAAAATTTAAAAGTTTACTTCTTATTTTCAGGTGAGTCTTTCTTTTATGAATCTTTTTAATTGTTTTTCTTCTTCGTTTTATTCTAATTAATTTATATTAATATTTCTAATGCGAAAGTATTATTTTGTGTAATAACAATAAATGAATCAATCATGTAGTTATTTGAAGTTTTTCTAATTAATTAACATTTAATGTTAAAAAAAAGTTATTATGAATTTTATATTTCAAGAATGATCTGCGTTCTATATATTCACAAAAAAAAAAAGAAACATTTGATTATTATAAATCCTTCATTATATTTATATCAGTAATGAATAACGATAAAAAAATATTGCAACAAGTATATAGATTATTTTAATCAATATTTTAATCAAATAAAATTATTTTTTATTTTCAACGAAAAGTGAAGGTCTCAATAATATGGCGATTACTAAAGTAGAATATATGTGATAACACAATAAAAATTGGATGTTTTTTTTATGGATGATAATAAAATATGATAATATTTAATAATAAGTAATTATATTTACTAGTATTAAATTATTTTATGAATTTATCTATGGTATCAATATTGACGATGATAAAGATGTTCGTGATATTTCTGTTTTTTAGTCATTCAAGTATTTCATCATTAATTAATAAAAGTTTTTCAAAGATTTTATTTGAAATCTACTATAAAATTTAAATGTTTCAATCAAGCTTTTGTAAATAACAAATACGATTAAGTTATATATATGAATATACAACCACTCTTAAAAATTATAATGAAAATTTATTCTAATCATTTTTATAATATTTATAATTCGTTATGTTAAACTTTTTACATATAAAAAAATTAATAACTTATTTCTTAATAAGATACCAACATCAACAATGAAATATTTTACCAACTATAAATAGAATATAAATTCAATAACTTGTACATAATCCTATAATCATTTAACTTCCATTAGAATGCAAGAAGAGAAAATAAATGCATAAGTCTTTTTATCCAGAATTTCGTGGATGTCTTAAATCTTACTGACTGATTTCATTCATGTTTTAGGAAATCAACGCAGCATTTAACATCGAAGAGCAAAACCATCGCTGGTAATCAAACGAGAAACCAATTAAAATCCTCGTACAAATCGTCGAACATTCTACAAAGAAGAATCCTGTTTCGAGCGTCGAAAAATCGGAAACGCAGAAGCAACAGGCGTTTGAACAACCCTTCTAATCGCACTGAAACGAAAAATATTTCCGCCAGTTATACAAATTTCAAACAGGGGAAAATAAAGGACGAGAAAAGTAACGAGAATTGTTCGCAGCAGGACGATCTTTACAAAAAGCTCCACGATGGCACCTATACCTGCGACATTTGCCAAACTACTTTCGAACAGAAGAGCAAGATCCTCCGCCATATTACCAGCAAACACAGCTTCCATCGACCGTTCAAGTGTTCGACTTGCGACAAAACGTTCAAGTACAAATGCGACTTGAAGGCCCATCGGTTGGTCCATCAAGATATCGATTCCAGTTTGTTGCATTGCTGCGACAAGTGCGATTACCGGACGAAAACGAAGAACAATCTCAAGTCTCATTACATCAGAAAGCATACCGATGATTACAAATTCGCCTGTGAGCATTGTGGGAAACGTTTCAAGATGGAGTGGGATTTGAAGTTTCACGTCGGGACGCACAGCAATTCCCAGCACATGTGCGACATATGTGGAAAATTTTACACGAGCAGTTATTCGTTGTACAAGCACAGAAAGGTGGCACATCTGAACGAGTACAAGTTCCAATGCAACGTTTGCAACAAGAGGCTGTTGACGCAAGAGAATCTGGACAATCACATGCAACAACACAGTAGAACGTACGAATGCAAAGAGTGTGGAAAGGTGTTCGCCTCGAAGAGGTATCTGGCGACGCACACGACCACTCACACAGGTGTGAAACCGTACACGTGCAACATCTGCAAGAAGAACTTTAGAACGTCTCATATGAGGAATACTCATCTCTTGACTCATTCTGCGGAAAGGCCGCACATTTGTGATCTATGTGGACAATCTTTTAAGAGGAGATATTACATGATAGAGCATCGAAGAAAGCATCCTGATGCTCATCTGTCCTCGCCTCCTGTGCCTCTTGGCAAGAGAAAAAGTGTCATCGAATTGGGAGTTAATACCGTTACCGGATCAGAGATTTCTTTGTAACATAATTTTTATCGGATGTTATTATAGATCTCGCAATAAGTTTATCTCTAAGCTTTTGTACTTGTACTATCTGTCTATGCTTTAAATAATCTTGTGCCATTTTAATCTACGTTCCGTTTCGAAGGAATGCTATATATAAATCGATCTAAGATCTGAGAAACGTAAAGTGTATGATAAATTATAATAACAGAACAATGTAATATTTTATGAAAAATGTAAGAATAATTAATATTAACTGTGTTAGAAGACTGTAAGACAGTCTTGTATGTATAGACCGAAATTCATAAAACATGACGAATATTTTCAAAATAATCTGTATATAAGTTTCATTCTGTAAACGCGACTATGTAACTATTTTCATATTTATTTATCTCACCCAATTATTTTTTAGTATATTTCTACAATTTTTCTTTTTTTTTTCTTTTTTTTTAATTTTATACGATCACCCTTACACTTTAATTCGTTAAACATTCTACAAACACTCGTACAAACTTCGAAGGCAGCAATGAACAAAGGCAAT